TATTACGCGGAAGTGCTAGTGTGGGACAATCTACCTTGACTTGTTCTTATAGTTTACACACTTTTGTATTACCTCTTACTGCCGTATTTATGTTAATGCACTTCCCAATGATACGTAAGCAAGGCATTTCTAGTCTTTTATAGAGAATCGAAATCATAGATTTGTAATTCGTTATTTATGATTACTCGGGGAAGAAGAAGAGTATAGCCACAAGCACAAATTATAATTTAAAAAAAAAAAAACTAGCTAACATGAAAAGGTAAAATGATTTGGAATAGGCATGTAGGCATAGTCAATGCTCTATACAATCTCACTTATAGATTATGCACTTTATTTAATTTAATTATTCATTTTTATTAATGTTTAATCAACCATTTATCAAACAGAGAATACATTGCATCAATCTTATATGATAATAAAAATGATTATATAGTAAAAACTTTGAATGTTATGTACGATGGAGGTTGATGTTAATACAAAACAATAGAAAAGAAATAACCCGAACATTTAAATAAAACAAAGAAAAGAATAAAACAATGTCCTAGTCTAACCTAAGGGCTACAAACTACATGAAACATCTACCTAACACTGGTTTCATGACTTTCATCGCGCGGCCACCGGCATCCGTACATAGGTTCCTTATTTTTACCTGAAATGTAAAAGTAGCACATGACTTGAGTATTTTAAGAAATATTTAGTAAGTAACCCCACTATTGAAGTAAGTGAATGTAAACACATGCGACATGGTGTGACCTATCATTTGAACATATAATACATGACCCTAGGTAGCTTTCCAGTCTAGGCAAGGTTAGATGTATGGTACTTCTTTACACACTGTGTGTGAGTATAGGCCTACTAGGCAGGCTCGCACACCCCCTAGGCTTGGCACATTGGGCTAGCACTCGCTAACAGGCTCTATGCCGAACACCACAGAGGGAAAATGCCCATATAACATCATGTGAATATAATGTCGTAAATCATAAGTCATAATGTATGCATTCATACTCATCATAGTGGAAAAGTATTGTAATGCATGTTTCACACAAATATGCATGAGGTCCCTATAGCTTATAATCATGACATAATGTATGATGAAAGACAAACCTCAATTTATCTATAATATGAATTATGCTTACATAATTTCCGTACATTTTATAACACATTACATTACTTTCATGACATAGTTTAAGGAGGTTTATGCATCATAAATTAACATTTTCATAACAACTTTATACAACTTGACATAATCACAAAATAACATAATTTTATTAGATAGCATAACGTGACATTAGCATAACATAGCCTATCATGTCATGGCATAACATCACAAAATTTACTTTTTGCGAAAAATATATATATATATATATATATATATATATTTTTTCACATTTAATTGCAATTTATAAGTTTAGGCTTTAAAACTCGAATAATTACGAAATCGTCCTGTGAAAAGACTTTTTTGTCCTCTTTTCCCTTTTTCTCAAGAGAGTCGGGGGACAATATAAATAAAATTTTTATTTATTTTAACTAAGAATTTGTTTCTTGCAAGAAAAAAAATGTCCAAAAAGGGTCGAAAGTCACTTCACGAATAAGGAGACCCTTATCTGTTCATCCATCTTTTATAAAATAATATCCTAAACATTAATATTAAATCAAAAAATATAATGAAAATGAGATGTGACAACGTTCTCGACATCATTTATATCATGACTGCATCACCTACGGTCTTAAATTGCTTCTAAGAATGAAAAACTAAACCAACATAGACCTTTTTCGGATGCTTTATCTTCACTCGTATGGTTTCTAGAAAAATTTATAAAGGGTTGAGTTTCAAATTTACGATCTTGAAAAGAAATTACAAACCGTTTGATTAGTTGACTGTATCCGAATCATTAAATTATTGCTTGATAAAATATCGTATTCAATCGTGACGTCACATTTTTAGTTGATTAATTAGTGTACCGATTAATGAACAAAACTGGAGAGATTATATCGCTCTATGATTGAGGAGATGTTGGGTCTAAGTTAAGGGCATTAAACATGGATTGGATGTCATATGTCAATTCAAAATGGATGTTAATGCAAATAATCCAACTTTAAAAAGCTTTGTTATTGAATTATTTCGGTTACGATTGCGACATTTCAGCAACTCATTAAGCTCTTTAAACTCGCTCGTAAATTTCATTATTAAAAATAAAAAAAAAGATTAGAAGTTCTTATGATTGAGTCACTGAAAAGAAAGATGGACGTTGTTAAATGGGTAGTGATTTTCATAGCAAAGTTTATACAAATAAGGGTCGAAAGGAACGGTCTATTTATCAAATATAAACGCTATACCATAATAATAATAAAAAAAAAGCTTAAATTTTTCATCAACATTAAATTAATAAAAATAATTATTTGATTTATGTTCTAAACCGAAAATTTTGAAATTAAAAAGTTAAGAGAGAGCATGGTTTTGATCCCACTGATAGAAACGACCTTTCACGTTGATATAATATTGTCCACTTTGAACATAAATTATCATAAAAAAATATTCGGTTCTTTTTAACTTTCCAAAACGATAATGACCCGAGCGGAGGTCTACGCGTTTTTCTCATAAAGGTTTAATTTAATATTAAAAACTTTTTATTTGATTTTTTTCATTAAAATATTTAAATAAAAACAAAAATTTCCAAAAGTTATTGATATTTTATTATTCACTGCAACTTTGAAGACCACGCCAACCCATTTTTTCTAGTAAAAATCAATTCAATTTTTTAACTTTTATAAATTTAGTAAATATGCCAACAATCACATTTCAATTTAAAAAATTAATTTAGTTGGAGTAATTTTATAATTATAATAATTAATTCTTAAAATTTATTAATTTAAAAGTATTCATGTATCATTTAATTACATTTTTTTGAATTTAATCGATAAAATTATAAATTTTCACACGTTTAAATTAATATATTTATGAAATTTTAAATTTTAAATTGATACAGTTATTAGTTTATTTAACAATTTTAGGTGAAAGTAAAAAAAAAAAAAGAAGGTTTTTTTAGGGTAAAAAAAAACCATTTTTATTAGTGAAAAGTAATTTTAAGATACAAATTACAAGCATAATCCTAATCTTAGTGCAATAATTAAAAATATTTACTGTTGTCATGAGTCATAATTAATTAAAAAGATAAAATTATTTACGCCTCAAAGTAATTTGTTTTTACAGTAGTAAAAAGCACACAAAAATTAAATATTGCAAACGTGGAAATTTCAAAATTAATTGTGGGGTTGAAAGCGTTGGATATTCTGTCCAACACGGCAACAAACTCGGAATCACCAAAAGCAGAGTGGGCCCCCTGCCAGCTAATTGTCCACTTGGATATTCTCAATTTCACTTTATATTATATATTATAAAATTATATCTATATATATATATATATATATATATATATATATATATATATATATAATTGTTAAAGTTAAAATTTTAAGGGTTTGTGTCCAAATATTAAAATTATAAGTTTCGATTATAAGGAGAGGTGGAAGAAACGGCTCGGGATTGATTTAGAAGTCTTTGTGCGAGCCGATTGATGTAGATAAAGATTACACCTTCTGAAACCAACACTTTTGATGCCCGTCCTTCGCTTTAGGGTTGATTAACTAGAATTCTTCTCCATTTATTAAATTTTCTTTATTAATTAATAAATTTGTATTTATTAATTTTTAACGAAAAAATTGAAAATTTTAATTATTTATTTATTAAATATAAATTTTAATTTATCTTTAATAGTTTGATAAAGGTGTGAATTTAGAAAATTTAAAATCTTAAAAACTAAAATTATAATTTTAAAAACTAAAGAAAAATTAATAAATACAAATTTATTTCAAAATTGTATTTATTTTATTTATTTCTCATGATTATATTCCATGTTACCACAGTGATTTTTCTTAATCATAATTTCAATTAAAAATAAAATCATTTCTGTTTTGTCATCATATCTATATATTTTCTTTAATCTATTTTAAAATTATATTTTTAAACGTTGAATTATGTTTTAAAAAATTATTGAATTAACAAATTGATTCATAAATAAATATCTCGAGATTAAAAAATTCTAAATCTAAATTATGTTACAAAATTCTCTTACAAAGAATAACACGATTACAAATAAAATATTGTAATCGAACGGGTATAGTTTGAATGGAATCCTTAGTTGATAAAAAAAAAAAAAATACGAACACGGAAAAGAAGATTAAAGTGACTCGATGTGACATACGAGTAGCCTATCGTAATCTAACCTTTAAAATACTATATATTGTTAGGCTTTCAACTCTTTGTATATGATGAAATGATATTCCATAAATCTTTCCTTTTCGAAAAAAAATGGGTAGCGAGTCCAAATTGGTGTGAATTGAGAGGAGAAATGAGATAGATTATAGGCATATAAAGCTTACGGGATCGAAATTAAATTGCTTGTTGAAATGGTTCAATCAAACTTCCTCAACAAGAGGAAGAGGATAAACATTATCATAACGTTTCATCATAAATTCGTATTCGAGTTCGAGATATTTGGAAGGTGTTTCTAACAAAAATATACATTCAAATAACTTAGAGTTTTATAATTTGTAACGTCCCGTTTTCTAGATTGGTTTCTGATGACATAATCCTGTTATCTACTTGTACCGAACAATTTCCATACTAATTAACACAAGATTGTTGTAACATAATTTGTTTATAGAAACCGTCTACTTGTGACTGTCCCTTGGCTCATAGGTCCTGACACAAAGTTAGAATTCTAGCTCTTACAGAGTGGTATCTCACTGATGGCTTGGGCTCCTAAAAGGGGGCCTTCTTTGCCGCCACCTAAGCAGTACAGGAAAGGAGTAGACAGTCCCTTGGCCCATAGGCCCTGACATAAGGTTAGAATTCTAGCTCTTATAGAGTGGTATCTCACAGATGGCTTGGGCTCTTGGAAGAGGGCCTTCTTCGCCTCCACCTAAGCGGTACAGGAAAGGAGTAGACAGTCCCTTGGCCGGTAGGTACTGACACAAGATTAGAATTCTAGCTCTTCTAGAGTGGTATCTCACTGATGGCTCAAGCCTCCTTCGCTCTCCATCTAAGCTAGGTACAGGAAAGGCCCAAAGCCGATTCCAAGGACAGTGAAGCTTCATAGGGTCTTTCTGTCCAGGTAGTCAGCATCGAGAATTATATGTTATAATATTTAGAAAGGGGAAGCAAAATGAGTGTCCCACCCACCAGAATTGATTACAGATTTAGGCAATTATTTCAATCACTCAGCCTAAAGTGGACTTCTGGTGCCCTAAAAGCAGAGGGGTCTCTAACAAATTGGACTAAACACAAATAAAATAAAAGAAAATAAAAGTTTGCACCCACTTTTTAATTTTACCTATTTTTCTGGTCTCATTTATACATGCAATTATTTTGTAATACCCAACTTAAGACTTACCATACCATATGGTTCAAATAATGAATGCATTAATATCCTCCTTTAATATATTCTAACTTCGTACTTCCAAAGTTTTCTTTTAAAAAAACTTCAATAATTCACGCTTAAAATGATAACTAGTGTCTTATCTATTAAACTATGCTCGTATGGAATTAATCATTAATAAAATAAAATAAAATCTAAGAATGATTTCATATCGTGTTCAATTTTAGAAACAATTTGACAAGGATCCCGAAGATAAAATAGTTAAGAAAGATTTAAAAGTCACAACGTATACAGCGACTCAATCATAGAAACTACATAGTTAAGCTTGTTTTAGTTTGAGCAATTCTATGTCGGGTGAATGAGAACAAAACATGTTGAAAAAACTCGTTAGTTTGTTGGAAGTCTTTAGTCTTAAAGACACGAGTACACACGACCATATCCCAAGAAAGTCTTTAGTCTTAAGACACGAGTACACACGAGTAGTAACATGACCATATCCCAAGAAAATGTCAACGCCATCAGATGCCAAATTCGGATTCTGAATTTTGATCCGAATCCTGAACATGGGTCGTAGCCACTTTTTCGAGAATGACAAATCTCACCATCAAATTTCGTATTGTACTTTAAGAAAATGAGTTCAAAACCGTGCAACTATGTTCTAAATTACATGTATTATGCCATAAAAACGTAGTCACGAGGCCAAAATAGAATATAAAAAAGTTGTACGAGAAATGGGAAATTAAAATAATTACTTAAACGAATGATTATTAGAAATTACTGTTGTTGTAAGCATTATAAGAAAAAAAAGAACGACAGTATACGCAAGTTCTTCAACAAACCTTAGAATTATTGGTGTTTTCTTCCCACACGTAGGTGAACATGATTGGAATGGACCCACTCATCAGAGCTCGGCTACGAACTATTTAGCTCGACCCTCTCCTCCAAACAATGCATAATTCAAACACATCCAAGAAGATGAAGCTGCAATGGTTCCTTCTGTTCTTGATTTCATTTGCAGAAGCACAGAGGGAGACTTACATAATTCACATGGATCGAACCGACATGCCACGAGCCTTCGATGATCATTTCCAGTGGTATGATTCTTCTTTGAAGTCGGTTTCTGATTCAGCTCAAATGCTTTATTCCTACAATACAGTGGTTCATGGTTTCTCCACGAGATTGACTGTGGAAGAAGCTAAGTTAATAGAAAAGCAGGAAGGGATTCTTGCTGTTATACCTGAAGTGAAGTATGAGCTCCATACGACTCGGACGCCGGAGTTTCTTGGACTTGGGAAGAGTGTTTCGTTCTTCCCTGCATCGGAGAAGGTTGGCGAAGTGATTATCGGAGTTCTCGACACTGGTGTATGGCCTGAATTGGAGAGCTTCAATGATGCAGGGCTTGGACCAGTGCCTCCGAGCTGGAAAGGGGAGTGTGAAGTGGGTAAGAACTTTAACTCGTCTAATTGTAACAGGAAATTGATTGGAGCTAGATACTTTTCGAGGGGCTACGAGGCAGCATTTGGGGCGATTGATGAATCCCAGGAGTCGAAATCACCGAGGGACGACGATGGTCATGGAACTCATACTTCAACGACTGCTGCTGGATCCCCTGCAACCGGAGCTAGCCTCTTTGGGTTTGCTGCAGGGACTGCAAGAGGAATGGCAGCAGAAGCTCGGGTTGCAACGTATAAGGTATGCTGGCTTGGAGGGTGTTTCGGTTCTGATATTTTAGCTGCAATCGACAAGGCTGTTGAAGATGGTGTCGATGTTTTGTCTTTGTCGCTTGGTGGATCATCCCCTGATTACTACAGAGACAATGTTGCCATTGGAGCCTTCTCTGCTGCGGCTCAGGGAGTTTTTGTGTCATGTTCTGCTGGGAATAGCGGCCCGTCATCTGGTAGCTTGTCGAACGTTGCGCCATGGATAACCACAGTTGGCGCTGGGACTCTCGACAGAGACTTCCCGACATACGTTACTCTTGGAAATGGGAAGAAATTCATCGGGGAGTCGCTGTACAGTGGAAAGCCCTTGTCGGACTCTTTAATACCAATTGTATATGCATCCGAAGCGAGTAATTCATCTAGTGGTAGCCTTTGCTTGACCAGTACTCTGAATCCGGCGAAGGTGGCCGGAAAAATAGTCGTCTGTGACAGAGGAGGGAACTCCCGCATCCAGAAAGGGGTGGTGGTGAAAGACGCCGGTGGCGTCGGAATGATTCTAGCCAACACTGACACATACGGAGAGGAACAATTAGCCGATGCACATCTCCTGCCAACGGCGGCCGTTGGCCAAAAAGCCGGCGACGCAATAAAGAACTACATCTCCTCCAACGCGAATCCAACAGCAACGATCAGTAGCAGCACCACGAGATTGGGAGTTAAACCGTCGCCGGTGGTGGCCGCATTCAGTTCTCGAGGCCCTAATTTCCTCACTCCACAGATTCTCAAACCCGATCTAATAGCACCTGGAGTGAACATTCTAGCCGGATGGATCGGTGGCGCCACTCCGGCCGGTTCAGACAGCGACAAGCCGCACGTGCCCTTCAACATAATCTCCGGCACATCAATGTCTTGCCCTCACATCAGTGGATTAGCTGCACTTCTGAAAGCTGCTCATCCAGATTGGAGCCCAGACGCTATTAGATCTGCCTTAATGACCACAGCATACTCAACATACAAAAATGGCGAAGCAATTCAAGACGTATCCAAGGGATTACCGTCGACGCCGTTCGGTATAGGAGCCGGACACGTGAATCCAATGGCTGCTCTCGATCCCGGCCTTGTTTACGACACCACCACCAATGACTACTTCGCCTTCCTTTGCGCCCTAAACTACACCTCACTTGCAATCAAAGTAATCACCAAGAAGGACTTCACCTGCAGTGGGAACAAGTACAGATTGGAGGATCTGAACTACCCATCTTTTGCAGTTCCATTGGAGACCCCTTCCATCAGAGGAGACGAAAACGCTGCACCGACCACCATAAAATACATAAGAACACTGACCAACAAAGGCACCCCATCGACGTACAAGGCCTCTGTGACGTTGAAAAGTCCGTCAGTGAAGATTGTCATTGAGCCACAAACTCTGAGTTTTGCAGAGGCAAATGAGCAAAAGAGTTATACAGTGACTTTCATTGCTTCTCCAATGCCGTCGGGGACCGAGAGCTTTTCTCGTCTGGAATGGTCAGACGGGAAACACATAGTGGGTAGCCCCATTGCTTTCACCTGGACATAGACACAGAAGAATCTCTGCAAATCCATTTCCATGGAAGCTAAAACCTGTCGTCTCCTTAATAACTTATTAGCCTGTATCCCTTCTCCAAGCCCTGCCAATGTCTTGGCTTGTTCATCTGTACCTTATTTTATTTTTAACCATATCATCATATTCATGAAAGAAAGAACACAAAGGTGGAGAATTATTGTACAGTGTTCTTGTTGATTGGCTTTCTTTTTAAGTTTCTAACTTCAATCAAGATTTCTCCCATTTGAAAATCCCACTGAAATTGGATGCAACCATTATTTGCACGATAGATATGCAGTCAAACATTTGTAAGAGATGCATGAAACGCATCGACTTATTGACTTATAAAAATGCTATACGTAACGATGTTACAAAGTAACCAACTATACCGACAAGAGAACAATTAAATAGGATGAAGCTATTCAGAAAGTAGGCACTTCGGAAAATTAATATCGAGCAGCTAAGGATGTTACGGAGTAGCCAACTATACCGACAAGAGAACGATTAATTAGGATGAAGCTATTCTGAAAGTAGACACTCATAAGGAAGAACCTTCAAATAAATATCCAGCGGCTAGGACATTGAGGAGAATTAAATTTCATACCTGCTTGTTAAAATGAATCATTGGAACTTTTTTCCACTATTTAATTAGCCGCCTGAGTAGGCAAGCAAGCAAGCAGGCTGTAAAGCTATGAATCTATGTGTGTGAGTTCTCGCAATCCATGAAGTGGGAGGACCTCTTCGTGGCAATTTAGGTCCCAAATGCATTAATTGTAAAGTTATGGAACAACTTTCCAGCAAAAAAACAATATATCTTAACTTCAATTTCCGTGGTCAATATTTTCCTTCAGTCATTACAGACACAAGCAGACTAATTTCAAGTGCGTAAGATTCACACATTGTCCTCATCTGACTAACTTTTGGAGAAAATTAATAGAAAAATCATGTTCAGCCTAAAGGAGCAAGGGTTATAGATAAATAGAATATGATTCCTTCAAATTCTCTAGGGTACAAGAAATGGATGTAAATGGTAACAAGAAGGGTTTCATGATTCAGAGTCTTGAGCAGACTGAGAAACAGGAAGGTAATATGTATCAAGTTGCCAATATTTGTGCTGAACTCCTTTCCAGACTTCTTCCTCCAAACAATCCTTGACGGGTAAGGGAATGAATTGGGTGGAGTAGCCCAGATTTTCTAGTTCAAGAGAAACTATATTACAATAAACAACATGGAAAAATGCATTACCTCCACAAAGACCATTAAAAAATGAGTAGATTCCCCCAGGCTTTAACAATTTAGGAAGATGTTGGTGGAACTCTCTCAAGTCTTCATAGTATTCTCCGTACGTATCGAAGAAAATACCTGAAGAGCAGGAAGCATACATCAACTTATAACACCCATGAAAAGTGGATTAAAACTACAATGCTTCACTTCCAATGCCTACTGCCTTTATGGCAAACAGTTTTCCATCTTTGCCTGAACCTGAAATGACCAGTTCTTTGGAACTGACAAAGGAATAGCTAACTACAATTGACCACATCTCTCTTACAAAAGAAGGGTATGAAGTCTCTTTAAACAGGTATATGACAAACAAAACGCGATATACAGACAGACACGTTGAGGATATATTTATTAAATGGAGCCTTACATTTTTTTAGTTAATTTTTTCCACTCACATCAATGATTTTGCAATCGAAAATATTTTTAGTTAATGATGTTATATTTGAATGACAATATGCAAGAACGTGATGAAAATTGTAACCGTTTAAGTTGAAGAAATTAATGCATAATGGTAACAATGTAATATTTTATAGCAAAAGATTTGAAAAGCATCTGGAAAACGTTTTTTTCAATGACTCCATCTATAAAAAACACAGGAAATTTAAAATTCAGTATGATTAATCGTAAATAAAGTATGCCATAGAAGTTATGACTAACCAAATTAAAATAAGCTCTTAGAATGATATTAAAATGTACACAAAGGATAACAAGTGGAGAGCATAAAAAGCCTACAAGGTTTCGAAACTTTTAGAACTATAAGCAAAATAAATCGAAGTTATTCACTATGAAGATGGATAAATTCATCCAACTATTAAGTTCAAACTAGTCTACACCAATTTAGATACTGAAGAGAAACATGAAACATTAAGGTTAAGATGGATAAAAGTATAAATGACTCACCATCATAAGATTCAAGTTGAGGCAGGACGTCTTGCCAACGACCAAATATAATTTTCACATTGTTCTTATCAGCCCAACCAGTTTCGATCATGCGTTTATAAACCTCTGGGTGAGCCTCAACAATTGTATGTGAAGTGGGGGAGTATTGTTGAATGGCTGTGTCCACTAGGCCCATTCCAAATCCAACGTTCAGTATGTGACCACCACCCATGCAAATAGCCTTAGCATGAGCTTCCATCAATGGTTTTTCCCAAGCCATCATGACAGCTTTGCTTTCAGCATCCATCACCTTATCTTCACTAAAAGTAACTCTATCTTCCAAGTACTCCCCATTGCATACATCATTCCGGCTTTCTTTCCTAGCAATGGTCCCAAGAACCAATTCGGCTTGAATCCCTTTCACATTGAAACAAAGTTATGAGAATTCCCAGTCTGATATAAACAGAATTTCAAAGAAGGGGGATTAGATTGCCCAAGATCCAAAACAAACATAGAAGTTGGGATCAAAATAGAATAAATTGATCCTTTACAAACAAAATATGGGCATGGACCAAATTGATCTTTTATAAAAGTTGGGATTAAAATAGAATAAAAATGAAACCACCTGCACCTATTGTACTTGCTAATAAGCTAAGTTCACCCAAGAACTAATCATAAATTTCTACGTTAGTTTAATTCGAAATGTTCAATCTACAGTACAGTTACACACAGCACAAGCCGAACAACAAAACATCATTTTACTCTAGTTTAGAATCAGCAGGGGTTGTAAGGAAAGAAACGAGATAACAATCCACGTACCCGCATTAAGAAGAATTTGGAAAACCTCCTGGTGACCAGCCTCGAGAGAAAAATCCCCAGCAGAAAGATTGGAAGGAGAGAGCGCATTCCATGGCGCACCAGCTTCCAGAAGGGCTTTAACAACGTCGGCATGGCCATGCTTGGCTGCGTGCATAAGAGGAGTAAAGCCCTCAGCGTCGAAAACAGAAACATCAGCTCCGGAATCTATCAGAGCTCGGAGTTTGTCGGCGTCGCCGCCCCGCGCCGCCAGACACAGTTGCTCGCACTCGTCCATGATCTTCCAAGCAATCCTCGACGCAGTAATCTCACACTCCGTCAAATTGTACTCCGCAGTCAGCAAAGCAACCGAGTGTTAGAAGCCCGTTAAAGTGAGCCCTAGCATGTTAGCAAAGTGAAGTTTGGGCTTTTAGCCCACTAAATTAAATGGGCTTTTATTAGGCCCATCTAACACGAAGTGGTTCCGGAGTCGCCATAAAGGTGGAACATTCCCATCAAATTTTTAAATTTTACAGTATTATTAAAAATAAAAATAAAAAACTATAATTTTTAATTTTTAAATTTTATTGATTATTTTAATGCAAAGTAATAATTCGTTAAGTTGGTTGGTTCCGACAATATTTTAGTTTAATCATAAATAAATTAATACTATAAAATTCAGTACATAAAAAAAGGAGGTTTATATGACCCGATAGTCTAAACAATCCAAACTTCAAACTCAAATCATAACAATTGATTTGGGTTAATTTTATTCGATTAGAGTCAGGTTAAAATCTTTGAAAAATTAAAAATTCGGTTTGTTTGTAGGTTCAAGATCACCCCAAGGACGTCTTCAGTATCCAGGGGTCGCGAACCGACCATAGAACCTTGTTCAATAAGTGAAACGCATTAGCTGTCTGCTATCCAGTTGGGCAGTAAGGGATTCTCGAGAAGAGAGGAGCTGAGGTGGTCCCCCCAGACTGCCCGAATCCCACGAGTGAGAAAGTTGGATCTACATTGGATCTCAACATTTTTTTGGTCAAGTTAACTTCACCAAAATAGAGTTACAATCCAACTAAATTCTACTTCTAAAAATATTTAAAATTTATAAACAAGGTTAATGATATATTATGATTGGTAAATATTTGATATTTAAATTTTGTGAAATTTTAATTATTAATTTAATATATATGGTAGATAAATATAATTTATTTGACAATAACAGATAGTTGGATTGGATTATATTCTAATTGTTCGAGCCACCAAACTATCCTAAATTTATTTAGGTTAAATGTCAATAAAGAAATAAGATATTTATAAAAAAAAAATTATAAAAAAAAAAAAAAAAAAAAAAAAA